ACATGTTCCCAAAATTGATTTTGGATTTTTGAGGTATTTCGACTTTTTGAGATTTATGCAAAATCTATTCTATATATGGAAGTAAAAAAAGTACCTAGTTATATGTATCTTTAATCAAAGAATAAATCTGGGTGATCAAAAAATTTCAGGTTTTAAGTAAAATAATTTTGTCTTCTATGAAAAACTATCTTGACTTTTTTTCCCGAAATTGCAATTTCGGGACCCCAAAATAATTTTGCGTACAAGTATAATATGGTCATTACGAATTTTTAGTCTTACCCTTTGGGCTATGTAATGCTCCTGCAACCTTCATGACTCTAATGAATGATATTTTTCATGAATATCTGATGAATTTGTGGTTGTATATTTGGATAACATTCTAATATACAGTAAAACAAAAGAAGACCATTTGAAACATTTGTGCAAAGTATTATTAAAACTTAGAGAACATAGATTATATGCCAAATTAAAAAAGTGTGAACTATTTAAAAACAAAGTTGAATATCTTGAATATTATATATCTGGCGAAGGAATTGCCATTGATGAAAGGAAAGTAGAAGTAATTAAAAATGACCTAATCCTACCAACTTAATGGAACTTAGATCATTTTTGGGACTTAATAACTTTTCATTTTGATTTGCTTAATAACATTCATTTTGTTGAATTATTATTATGTATTTGCTCTTTGGGTAAGAAATTTGAATTTTAGTTTTATTTTTGTGTGCATATTCTGTATATATAATGAGGTAGGTTAATGAATTAATAATTTTCTTTTGAATTAACATTTTAAATTAGAAAAAAGTTTCATTATATTGCATTAAACAAAAAATGTAAAACTATGTAATTGTATTAGACCAACTGATTCACTTTTCCAAATTTTAACTTGATTAACTTGCGAAAATAATTGAATTATTAGGGATATGGAAAAAAATTTGTAACAATCCAGAGATTCAGTGATTTTACTTACATAAGTGAGTGTATGATTCTTTATTCAAGATTAAAAATGGGTGCGTATAATTTTATAATTACGTTTAACTATGCTATGTTATCCTATTTTGATATTAAAATATATGCTAACATTTAAATTCCACATGAGATTGACAAGCTACAGCTGATATTTAAATAATATTAATTACCTGCCTAACCATTGGATTCATAATATTTCCATCATTCAATACATAAGAGAATTAGTAGTGCAGAGTTACATCAGTTAATCATCAGTAGATAGTGATCATATCACAGATGAAGTTATAAATTTTACTAATTATTTTTCATATATATTGAGATTGTGGCGAACTAATTCATATGTTATTGATACTCAAATGTATTACAAATTTTGTGAGAACACATTTTTAGTAATAATAAAATATTTTATTGTTGGTTGATTATTAATGAAGAAAACGAAGGACATTTAGGTTTTCAAATATAAATAATAGATTGTTCGGCATATATAATAAAGTTTTTTTGAAGAAGTTTAATATCAAATTATGTGAATTGCCTCGTAAAAAAATTGTTGAGGGAAGACAAAAATAAATTTCATTAAAAAATGTACAAAATAAGAATTTATTATTTATTTATTAACAAATGATACATATGATGTTTATGATGTTATTATTGTTGTTGGTATTTTTTTTGTTCTCTGTATTTCCTAATCATTTCAACTCGTTTTAAAAGTTCGTCAAGTTTGTCATCTAGGTCTATTTTGTTTTTTTCATAGCAAAAGAAGAAAGAATTATTATTATTATTTATTATAATTATACAATAATTACGAAATAACTGTACTGTCATATACTTACTTTTAAGTCTTTCCTCTTCAGTATAATTGGAACTTGTTAATTTTGATATAGGTTCCGTCTCAGTAGTTAATATTGGTTTTGTGGGTGGTTGTCCATCTGTTGAACTATTATTATTATCGTGGACACCACGTGTAACAGCGGAAGTATTTGCTAATCAAAAAAAAAGGTAAGTTTTTATGTATTTAAAAAATAACAATACAAAAAGTTTGATACTTACAATCTTCAAAATTTTGATCTGCATTTTCATTTGATTGTTTTGATTGTTGTCTTCGTTCTTTGATTTTACTATAAATAAAAATAAGTTAGTGACCTTTTCGCTTTTACATTATTAATTTTTAAGAATACATACATATATTTTTCAAAAGTTGCTATGAGAACAGGAGCTATGAAGACAGGAGTAAGAGCAGTTAAGGTGGTGATGGTCAAAAACATTCTTTTTGGTATACGTAAAAAGGGAGAAAAAACGATAGAAAAAAAGATGGTATTAGCTTTACACGGTCAAATATGAAAGCAAAGATAGGTAATAAAAAAAATTTATGTATGTTAAAAGTACCTGAAGACAAAGTTTTATAAAAAGTGAAGATATGAGTAAAAGTTGTATTGCAGAGAGTTAAGAGATAAAATTTCAAGATCAAGTAAGTAAATAAGCTGGTATTTATACGTGTCTAAGTATTTATTTTATTGATCGGCAATGCAGGATAAACAAATTATAATAATTATAATAATTACCATGATCATGAATTTTATCATGGGAACTAATGTAAATAATATTTATTTATAGTAGTACAAATACAGGATCGTATAGTATATTTATAAACAAAAATCATAAGATTTCGTGTTGCAAGTAAATTAACAAAATTTTTGTATTACCGGCACTTGATACTATTTATTTATTTACCTAATGTCATTAATTTTTCCAAGACTTTTGTTTTTTTTTCAAAAACTTTTCTCACTTTCTCCCTTGCAATCATTTAAATCGTACTATATCTTTTCTCTCCTGACACTTTTGACAACCCATATATAGTCATAATGCAAAATCTTATTTCGAATAATAACTCAAAACACAAGTTTTAGGCGAACTTTCTGCCAATATTGTCTCTAAGATTTGGTGTTTAAAAAAATACGGCAGACATAGATCTGCAGACATGCATTTTAAGAAATTTTGTACTGAGATATTTATTTATGAGCAAAGTTAGGATTAGGCTGATCAAGGAATTATGAAATTTTGCTGAGTGGTGACAATTACCTGCGGTGATATTTACAATATTCTTTATTTATACTTTAATATATGTTTATTGTAAAGTAGTAAATAAATGTAAACTAAAACTTTCTTTATGATTTTAGATAATATCAAAAGCTCCAATATCCAAAACAATTGTCTTCTTGTCTTTAAAGTATGTACAAATGTACATCAAAAAAGGAAATAACATCAGCTTTACCAATGAATATCAGCTTTTCACCATTGCTCTCATGTTAGCGAACAAATGGCTCAACGATAAGAGATATGCAAGCAAGATCTGGTCAGAAATATCCTATATCTCTCAAGCTGATATTGATACTTTGGAGATTTCATTTTTGAAGTCTTTAAATTTCAAGATACATAATACTGGAGAAGATTGTTCATTTTGGCTTAATTGCACAAAAAATTATCATCTTTCTGGCAGACTTGAGTACTTGTTTACCGAAAGAATTGGAAAGATGGCTGCCTTTCAACTAATTCTACCGAAACCTGGTTTAAATTACGAAGAAAAAATTGGTGCAAAAGTCATTGAACCCCCCAGTTGGATTTGAACATAATATCATTGTTTCTCACTATAAAAAATAATGGATATTGTTCTAGCGGATTGATCTCAGTTTTAAGATTTTTTTGTTGTTGGTTATTATGATATCATACAGTAATTACGTTATATAAGTATTAAGATATTAGCTATAATAAGAGATCAAATCATAATAAACAGTTGAGAGCGATTAAATTAGATCTTATAGTTATTATCATTCATTTCTTATTAGGAATGCTCAATTAATATTTTCTTTAAAAAATTTTATATTTTCTTTAAAAATTTTTATTTCTTATATATTTCGATTTATTTCTTATTGTCTTTGTAAATAAATTAATTTTAAAAAAAAACAAATTATTTAATTTTTATTGTCAATTCTTTTTATGTTTTGTTGTATTTGGTTTGAATATCATAATTTTACTCTGCAGCATGATGGATTATCAAGAAAGTAGAAAATATCAAAGAATTATCGAGAAAAAATTAAATGAAAGAGGTAATCAATGATATGATCTCAGAGATACTTCATTAATTTTTTTAGTTTAGATAATCTTAAAACATGACTTTTGTATTGAACTTTCATTTCGAGAAGAATTTGAATTCTTATAATAAGAATAATCAGATGAAATTCATAAGGATTATTTTTTAATATCTAGATGAAAGTCGTAAACCTCTTCCGGAACTGCTATTAATAATTATTCAAGAAAATTTAAATTTATTAAATTATAAGTATTCATTTTATAAATTTATTCATTTATTTTAACTCATTAGATATTATTAACGAAAATTTTAGTAGCCACAAAATGTTATAATGATTTTAAGGAACTGTCGTAAATCCGGGAGCAAATTAATATTATTTTCGGAGTGGGTACATGTGATCACACGGGTGATCGAACAATTTTTCAGGCAAAAGTATCATTTTTGATAGATCTATGGTTATTTTTTAATATACCTATGATTTTTTTTTTGATACTTTAAGTAACGTGAGCAACTAATTTAATTAATTGGCACGTAATGTTCATATTCTATATATCGTGTGAACAATGGTTATTTGTTGTGTCATATTACTTTAAAATAAGTGTATCAAAAAAAATAACCGTAGATCTATATTTTTCAGTGTTTGGGCACATTATTATTGAATATGAGTTGTCACGCGAGTGGGCAGACTGATAGTATACATATCGGACAATCAACAGAAAATTAATTCGTATAATTGTGTTTAAAAAGAGAATCAATACATTAACATAGATATTGTGTACCATTTTTATTAATATGAAAATTCTTATAATTTTTATAATAATCATTATGAGAAATCATATTTACTGACTGATATTTAATTTATTATCATTATTAGTGATGAAAAATTTTGTTTAAGAGAAGTAAAATGTGTTAAGAAAAATTTGCATAAATTTCTTACGTATCTAATTTGAAGTCTTCACTTAGTTTATTATTATTTTGTAAGAATTTTAGATTTCTAACGAAACTTAGAATTTTTAAGATAAAATAAGCCTTTATTTATATTATGTAATAGATTGAAATTTATTATTTAACTAAACTAAATAATTGAAAAAAAAACATTTGAGAGAAATAATTGAAAGAATTATTGAAATAACTGAAAGAAATTATTGAAATAATTTAAATAACTCGAACATACAAGAAACCGCCAGAAATCAATCACTATAAATCTAAAGTAAACATCACCATCATTCATAGATCCCATCTGTTACCATCATCTTAAGATCATTTTGTAATTCATAAAATATTTTAATCTCTTCTTGACATTTCGAATCATCCCCATATAATTTCTTAATTCTTTCAAATTTCTTTTGTAGAATCAGAATCATTTATTTCAGTTCTGATCTCATCAGCTTTCGTGAGACGCAAGTTCAAAGATCTTTTAATTTTGTTATATGTCTTCATCTGCTGTTCAAAGCGTTCGGATAATTGCTGGTATTCAGTTAACGTTTCAATTTCATATTTGTTAACTGTAACGTCATCAGCAGATGTTGTAGCAGTATATGAGGTGGTGTTTTTGATTTTCCCCGTTCCTTTAGAAGTCGAAGTGGAATGTCTTCTTTGGAATCGTATGAAGAGGTTCCGTTTAATCTTCTTCGTTTCCTTAGTTTCCTAATCGGGATATCTTCTTCAGATTCATAATTATCATCTCCTTCACTACATTTACTATTTGCAGTTTCTTCATTTAATTCCTTCTCCATCTCCTCTTCTAATTCTTTGCACGCTCTTTCCAATTCTTCCCCTTCAATTATTCTTGTATCTACGACAACCTGTGTCCTGTTCCCACTACTGACTTTACCACCTCTACAACCTCTACTACCTCTGCTGCCTCTACTACCTCTGCCACCTCTTCCGCCTCTACTACCTCTACCACCTCTTTTACCTCTTACACCTCTTCTTTTGTTGAAACTGAGTTTTTTTTATTATATTTTATGGCTATTTTTTTTATTTGAATAAAATATTGTGCTTGAATTTTTTGAATTGTTTATTGTTATTTTGAACGTTTATTTAAAATTGGGACACGTTTGATATTATTCTTTAAAGATTTGAAGAAAAAATTTTTTTGTTGAAAAAAGGGGGAGTTTGGGTTTTTTGAAATGGAAAATTTTTTTCTGTTGATCAATTGTGTGTATATAATACAGGTGAATATATTATATTACTGATGTTATGATTGATCAATATCTTTAATATCATGATACTCCCTGTATTGTCATGTCATGAAATATCAAAAAAAAAGGATCAATTGTAATTATTAATTTTGTCATGGGTACTGATAGTACTTGCATCATCTTTTATTAATATATTCTTTAATAACATATAATTTTATGATTATATTTATGATTATTATTATTATGATTATAATTATTTTAATTATACGTAAATTTCAAATTTTGGGGGTATTTAGGGTTGGGGTTAGATATTTATTACCATGCTTGCCACTCTTCACACCTTCGAATTAGAAATAATACAATTCGTTAAGATAAAAATCAACAACTATATAGTAAAATGTATCTTTTAGCATAAAATTCTTTTTAATAACATTAATAGAATATAGACAAGTAGTAAGAATAAAGAATCTACTAGCACAAATATTCTATCACTTTTAATAATAACAACATTGATTAAGAAAGCGAAACGGGAACCATTGTAATTTCGACTTATCCCAAGTTACGTTTTTGATGTTTTTCTTGGTTACGCATCAAAAACATAACTTTGGTATCACTTTACTCGTCCTCCGCTAATCAAAGTTGCACAAGCAACAATTGCACACGTTATTTGTATCACTTTAGATCAATATCGAACAATCATTCCGAATAAAAATAATGCAAAAGAGTTATCAAAGAATTATTTCTTTAAAAAATAATTGGCTCTATACTTCAAATTCGTTAATATCCTAAAGTCTCCGGTGCTGATATCATTTATATGAAAGATAATAGTGATAAAATTAATAATGTAAGTAGTAATAATAATAACGAGAAAAATAATATAGTAGTATGTAATAGTACAAATAATAATAGTCATGATAATCATAATAGTATATTAATAGAAAAGAAAGGGAAATCGACATTAAAATCAACTACTTCAATGAATACAATAGAAATTTATTATTTTACAGCTATATTTGATTATATGAACTAATTTGATTAATGATAAAGCTTAGTGTTAACTAGAAAGTCTTAATTAATTAATTAGATAATATTAGTTAATTCAATAGAAAAAAGTATTTTTTTAATTAAAAGTTAACTCGTAGTCCTCTAATCATACAGCAGCAACCTGTGAAGCTGTTGATATATTATAGATATACTGGTCTAAGTAGTGGTTAGCTTACAGAGATCTGTTATATTACTGTTAGAAGAAATTGAGCAAAAATTAGTTACAAAAGGGTTTAATTGGTCTAAAAACATTTTGATAAATTCTAATGTATCTTGGTGAAACTGAGACATAATGGAAAGCCTATTATCTGTTTTAGATTCAGTGTCATAAATGTACAGCTGGAGAAACTTGAGAATCCTGTCAACTGATAAATTCTGCTTTGTATTTGAAACGTGTAAACACCGTTTCTACCTAACCAAAAGTTAATATTATATAATTGAATATATCTTTTGATCAAATTCCTTAGTGTTCATAAGATCTTTATCCAATTTGATGCCTATAAAAGTAAATGCAAAAACACTATTATAACCCTTGATATTATTACAAAAATCTTTTCCCACGTCATTATTTCTTGTGGGTAAGTCTTTCAATACTGTGGTATCACCTGTCGAAGCTAGACTACTACCAACAAATTTAGGATTAAAATTATAGTTAATCACAGAAAGAGCAAATCCTGTTTATTATTGATTAGGAAAATTACCTGATCTTTTCCAATCCAAAACACATTCCTTATTTTTCAACAAAAAAAAAATCTAGTATAACAATACGAATATATATGTACAGTGTCAAGAATGTAATAAACAGATGTAACTGTCTCACAGAAATAGCGAGCAGTATTATAATTTTGAAATTGACATAATTTTTGGAATCTCCGAATTCGAGAGGTGTCTATGACCCAATATTCTTCAATGGTTCGCGAACGGAAAACACGAAAAGGTAGCATGGCATTTACAGAATAAACTCAACAAAAACTCAAATAGAAACTTATTATTTTTTTTTGTCCTATTTTGTTATTATTTTTATTTTATTTTATTTCTATTTTATTTTATCTTTTAATTTTTTTTTTTTGATCTTTTGAGGTACAATGAAAAAAACTTTTTAAATATCGGTAATTACAAAAATTACCAGCTTTTTATAGATAAGCAACAGATTAAGAAAAAATTTGAAACACCAATTTAGAATCTATTCACCAATTTTTACTAAAACACTGGTATCAATTGTCTTCTGTAAAATTTACGCAATTGTCTATTTCACAATAAGACTATTATTATGAAAACATGATGATTCAATTCAGGCCATTGATTTCTACTCTAATAGATTACTATGTCTTGCAGAAAATATACCTCTCTTTATACAATGCCTTCACTACCTTTTTTTTCAGGCAATTAAACACAAACTAAAATCTTAAAATAGTACTCCTCAAACATGCGTATTAATTGTGTAAATGAAACTCATCACGACATTGTTAACATGGGAAAGCAAAAAATAGCATTCAAAGAAACATACTGAAAAATGTAACAGGTTTTTTGAATAATGCAATTACCAATATTTTTTCTATTCATACATCATATCTACATCACATATGTATAGATACTCATTGATTGTTTGCATAATAAATGCTGTAACCATTACATAAATTCATTTATCTATCGAATCACGACATCCTTACAGTCATGCCAATCATTCAAGTTTTCTTCAAAATTATTGTAGATTCTCTATATTTCATTTTGTTATACTAACTTCTTTCCTTTGTAAATCCTTTGATACGGGAAGATCCTATTATATTAAGGACTACTTGAAGATTCTTGGTCATAAGATTAGTGAGTAACTCTTGAAAACTAATAATTACCAGAATACAATACTGTCACGTTTTGACAGTTATTATACAGTAAGGTATTACGGACAAAACAACCAATCAAAAACGTTAAAGCGTACACTTCTGTTTTAAATAATATAGATCGAGAAAATTTGGAGCTTTAAAATTGGCATGTCTAATAAAGAATGTTGGATTGCTGGTCACTCGAATTTAGGCTCAAAATTTTAAGATCAAGAATTTATTTTATTTTATTAAATTTATTTGTATTTTTTTCAAAAATAATAATAAAATAAGCAAAACGAAAAAATGATTTATTTTACATTTTAATGTATAAAAAAATCGAAACCACAAGTACCCTAATCACATTTCTGATAATTCAAGAAATCTAAGAAAGAACTAAAGTTTTTGTCATCATTTCATTTGACTATTTATAATTTATTTCATTAATATAGATAGCTTTTTCCAAAAATAAGACAGTATTAAATTTATGAGATTAAAAATTCGATTTGATTACGCGAGTTCTAAAATTCTAGAAAATAAGTTTATATCGGCAGAAAAATATAATGCACTCACGTTAAAATCTTTTATTCTCTTTATTCTCTTTACTGTTTAACTTTATATAAATCACTAGTAAAATAATTTATTGTCAATAGCCGTATTAAATTATTAATCACGCACGGCGATTTTATATTAAATCTTAAAAAATTAATGGCGAAAAACGTCCTTCAAAATAATTTAGAAATTCTCGCCGTAAAGGTAGAATCAGCCAATAAGGTAAAATGGATTTTTTTTTTATTTGCAATGAAATTATCAAACAATAGATTCAATATAAACGGGAATTTTGAGGGCATCGGCGATTGAGTGGAATAAAAAGCCAATATATATCCTAGGTACTAACACCCATGATATTATACACATACACTCAGATTAAACCGGAAAGGAATTACGCAATAATGATATTTTCCAAAAATTAGACTCGATAGAAGATATCAACGGAAGAACAATTATTTATTTTTAAATCAATAGATCCCACTACAATACGTTTATTTATTGCATAATTAATAAATAATATTATTGTTTAACTGATTAAATCATTTCGGAATGAAATATTACGTTAGTTTTTTTTTGAGCAAAATTGAAATTAAATTAATTTTTTTATATTAAGTCTATAGATTCAATGATTAACTATCTAATTAATTATAATAATGAATATCTCGGGGAAGAAATAAATGCATATTTTTTAATTTATAATAAAAATTTTAAAGGTACTTTATTGGGAAATGACAAAATTTAAAATTATTTTTCTAAGATTTTT